GAGGAGAAAAGTGTGACACTAAACTATTTAAAATGACATTGTTTAAGGAAGCTTTCAAGATGGGAAGTGGAGAAAAATATCAGATGAACGTAGATTAAACCAATTTTAATTAGTACATACTTAAAACTATATTACAATTTCCACTTAAAGCTAGAGACCTTGAATGAAGAATGGTTTTGGAAAACCAAGCAAGTACCCTAAAGTCTTGGTCTGACCCCAAACCAGTTTATTTAAAAGAGAAAAGTGAGGGGGAAGGAATCTATTTCTATTAACATGCAAATCAGTAAGAGTTACTGTTTGAATGTTAAAAGCAGACACAGAAAACTAGAAAATAATTCTGGAGCTCCCAAAAGTTATTGTAAAATACTTTAAGACTGAAACCTCTTTCAATAATGAAAAAATTGAAGAAATTTATCCAGTATTTTGCTGTCCACATATCAGATCTCCCTTCATGAGGTGAGCTTGATACAGCTTTTAAAAGAAAATAGACACCAAAAACATTTATTTTGTATGTTTAGTGATAACATATTTTGACACTTTAGAGTAGGTCACTGAATTTTAAGAGTCAGAGGGCAGAATTAAAGCCAGTATTTAAACACATGAAAAGCAGCACTGTGTTTGTGCTGAGACAATGACTAAGTATTTTCTCTCAGCTGTGTAAGCCATTACTATGGAATTTTGCATTTTCTATCTCCCAGAAAGCCAAAACTATGAATGTATTTTGTTTTATACAGACCACTAAAGAACTCTGTATGCTCAAATCTGTTGATTTCATACCAGGCATTAAATCAAAAGAAAGAGAATTCCAAACACTGGGATGTTTATCCAGTCTCCTCATGCATTATTTTACACGTTTCATTTGGATTTCTGTTATTGATGGTCCGGTCAGTCCAAGCCTTCAGTACCACCTACACAAAGTATTCAGGCGAAACTCTGGCAGCTGACTTTGCCTAGGCAATGTGCTTTCAATTAAATGATACACAGTGAAGCACAACAGTGCCAGTGCCAACATCCTCAAATAACTTCCTAGCCTGTTAGTTTGTTTCCACACTTTGCCACCTGCTACAGTTAAATTGACCCATACAGCAATCCCAGAAGTGGATGCAAAAAAATTAAAAAAAAAAAAAAAAAAAACAACAAAAACCTTCACCCACCAGAGGAAAAAACACCCAAACTGAAACTGCCAATGGATTCTCAAGTTCAGGGACTGAAACTGAGAGCAGTGGAGGATAAATTAAAGGTTTTCACTGCCATCCACATGGACCTTGAGAGGCTGGAGCAACAGGCTGAAACCTTGTGAAGTTCAATAAGACATGCAAAGTCCTGCAGGTGGGGAGGGCTAACCCCACACACCAGAGACTGGCTGGAAAGCAAAGCTCAGCAGAGGCACAAGAGGAAGGAAGGTGCCCTTGCAGCGAGGCTGCAGAGGATGCTGATGGAATCCTGGGGGCATTAGGAGCACTGCTACCACCAGGCTGAGGGAAGTGACTCTGTCCTTCTACTCAGTGCAGGTGAGGCCCCATCTCAAAAATTCTGTGCAATTCTGGGCTCCCCAGTGAGAGAAATGCAACGGAGAGAGTCCAGTGAAGAGCCGATGATTAAGGGCTTGAACTATCAAACCTGCAAAGATGCTTTAAGAAATTTAATGTAAGAGTTTTCATAAGATATCTGCTGCAAAAAATAAACTTAGAGAGTACTAAGGCCTGAACAAGAAATCTTGTGCTTCAATAGCTTTAAATGAACAGCATACCTTGAAATTCAAATGGATAGTAGCAGCCAAATATTTGAAAAGAGAAAGTTTTCTGCAGCTGACAAAAATATGCTAGTAGTCTGGAGGATAAAAGAAGCTGGATTTTGAAGAATGGCCCCTTTAGAAAATTATTAATCTCAGTTTTTCAACGTTACTTCAGTAATTTTGGTTACCTCAGTAACTTTGCCTTCGCTGAAAAGCACCAAAGTGCCATTATACAAAATTTTCAAATGCATATTGATATTTTAAACACCACTACCTTGTCCAGAGAAAGTCTGCCAGTTTTAAGGCAGCAGATAGATTTCCAGAGCCAACTTTGAGTTCCCCATATTTTGCAGTGATATTGTGGGAAACTGTACAAGCTCCTAATAAAAAATTAAGCTTGAAATTCAATGTTACATGTATATACACCTATCTAGAGAAAACGATGACTGCTCCTATCAAATGAAAATGACTGTATTATCAATAATAAAATGGATGTGATTTCAGTAAAGTCTATGGAGCTTTTTCATGAGGTTTGCTCTAAATACAATAATTTCAGGCACTGAAGTATACACTGTACAGCAGCACCCAGCACTTACTCAGTAACTCCAGGTCCCATCCACTCTTGGGTCAGATAGTGGTGAGGAGCAGTCACTCACATAAATGCCAAAATTCTGCCCTACTGCAAGAGGATCGATAAGGTAATGCAGCTAACCAGGGAATGCCAAAAGGATGCCAAAAATGCTTTCACGTGTGTGCATGTGATACTCCTTTGATGCATAGTTGAACAAAATTAAAGCTATAGAAAAAGCATTCAGTTTAAAAGAAATCTAAACAAACAGCAAATTTGTCTAGAGTTCTATGGCTTCCAAAGGAAATTCAGGTCTTGTTCTATAGAATCTTCAGTAAACAACATAAAATATGCACATGAAACATGAACAAAAAGACTCATCTCTCATATCTGTTTCTTTGCTATTCCCTTATGTAATGGCACTTTCCTGTATGCTGCACTTATGCAAAAAGGTATCAAGATACCAGAGCCTCAAAAAGAGCAGTTTATTGAGTTTTACTTAGCTCATGTGACATTCCACAAGGTGCTCACTTCTGAACTTACTATAAAGATTAACCAGACACAGTGATTCGATTGAGAATTTCTATTTCTAAATTGCTTCTTTGCCTACTAACCTTTAATAATGTCTAATCATGCT